GTGCACGTCCATGAAAGGCCACAATGCAACCGCCCAGTTCATCATTGGCCGAGTAGTAACCGGAGTTGGAAATGGCATCAACACGTCGACGATTCCCACGTATCAAGCCGAGTGCTCTAAGACGTCGAACCGTGGACTTCTCATTTGCATCGAAGGTGGTGTCATTGCGTTCGGCACCTTGATTGCCTATTGGATGGATTATGGATGTCAATATGGGCCTGAAGACTTTTCCTGGCGGTGCGTATACCTATAATCTGACTGGAAATCGTATGTTGACAGCCCCAGATTTCCAATCGCATTCCAAATAGTTTTCGGCTTCATCGTGCTAATTGGGCCATTCTGGCTGCCGGAGAGTCCACGATGGCTCCTCACTAAAGATCGAACAGATGATGCAGTCAAATCTCTCGCTGCGCTGCGCGGGCTCAGCATCGACGCCGACGAAACAAAATTGCAGATCAACGTTATCGTAGACAGCATCCGAGCTTCGGGACACAAAGGAGGTAACACTCCTTTCAGCGCGCTGTTTACTGGCGGCAAAACTCAACACTTCCGAAGGATGATGCTTGGGGTTTCAAGCCAGATTTTCCAGCAAATTGGTGTATGTCCCTTGATATCATGTTCAGAAGTACCGGAATTAATGTGTTCTCTAGGGCTGCAATGCAGTGATCTACTTTTTCCCTCTTCTGTTTGAGAATTCTATTGGCGAGGACCACAATATGTCCCTGCTCCTGGGAGGAGTCAATATGATTGTCTACTCGATATTTGCAACAACCTCGTGGTTCATCATCGAGCGCGCTGGCCGGCGCAAGTTGTTCCTAATTGGCACCATCGGGCAATGTCTGTCCATGGTTCTAGTCATGGCATGTTTGATTCCCAACACGGAGTCGGCAGCCAAGGGCGCCGCAGTTGGGTTATTCACTTACATTGCGTTTTTCGGGGCTACGTGGCTGCCGCTCCCATGGCTCTATCCAACCGAGGTGAATCCCATCAAGACTCGTGCCAAAGCGAACGCGGTTTCGACATCGGCAAACTGGCTCTTCAACTTCGCCGTGGTTATGATAACACCTGTTATGATCGACAACATCGGGTGGGGAACGTATCTGGTCTTCGCTGTGGTCAACGCAGCCTTCTTTCCCCTCATCTACTTCTTTTATCCCGAAACAAAGCAGCGCTCGCTCGAAGAGATCGACATCATCTTCGCCAAGGGCTTCGTCGAGAACATGGGCTATGTCCGGGCCAGTAAGGAGCTACCCTTTCTCGATGAGCAGGGTATCGAAGAAAAGTTTAGAGAGTATGGATTCGTAGGTTCAGAGGATCAGCCAGGACGGCTGAAGGAAGCGGGCTTCGGGGAGAAGGAGTCAGAGCTTGCTACAACCGAGGGCGCAGAGATGGCGTAAGCATTAGCAACATGGGGAAAGCGAGTAGGAAGGATTACATACGGGAAATATTTGGATCTGGTGATATTGACATGGCGCTGTTTGTGTTAAGTTATATACCCTACCGACAGCATGGCTCGCTACCCAAAGCTCGAGCATGTGGTTCCAGAACAATATTGATCCGACCGACAATGAACTTGTCGCGCACGGTGCTTGTGCAACTCGACGACAAGCGGCTTACGTTTGTCGTGAAGGCCTCGTGTGCTTATGACGGGCAGCAGACAAGGTCATCTGCATGCCTGGCAAGCAATCATGTGATAATGAAACAGCCCCGCCATACGTAGCCCGCCGCCACACAATCCTTCTTGCGTTGCAGCGACATTCCTCGACGACACGCAACACAACACAACAAAGCAGCACGACACGACACAAGACCACCCTGTACATAGCTCCCCGCGGCGAACGAACAGCACGACAATCCGCGCCCCCTCCGCATCGTCTCCGTCTCCGTCTCCGTTTCCGTCTCCGCCCCGCTGCCCCGTCCTCCTCGCTCGCGGCCGGTTCCCGCCATGGAACAAAGACGGCGGCCGGAGTACAACCTCGAGATATTCGCAGACCTTGCCTGCGTCAAGGATGTCGTCAAAGCGATCCTCCACACCATCTTCTTCCACCGCTACTTCAGCTCCATCTCTCCGCTCACGCGCGACCTGCTCGACCTGACGCTGCCCGCGATTGACGACGTCGATCTGGAGACACTCATCGACCAGCGCACCGTGGCGCTCGTGCGCGCCATCGACGGCACGCGCGGGCGCGGCCAGCTCGTGGTGCAGTTCTTTGAGAAGAGGCGGCGGAAGACGTATTTTTTCGCAAAGGCTGACGAGGATGTGTGTTGGGAGCAGTGGACGCTGGACGTCACGCTCGCGACGCCGCGGACAGAGAGTGGTAAGAGGCCCGACCCCCTTACCTTCTGCTTGACCTGCGCGCCGCACGCAGTGTTGCTGTGGGCATCGCTTGCTGACTTCTGTGCTATCGTACAGATGTCCTCAAAGTCCGTCGCGCCATGACCAAATCGCTCGAGAAAGCCGCGCACAAGATCATATCCATAGTCAACCGCGACAAAGACCACATCCCGCCCATCACCACCACCGACGCCAATCCGTTCCCCTACTCCGTCGTCGTGAACCCGAAGCCGACCGCTGACACATGGGGCCCGAGGATGGGCATATTCTGACATGTGGCGCGAGAAAATGATGCATGGTGGGGGCGGGGTACTCGGTACTCACCCACGGGAAAAACAAAACTTAAAACTTGACGTCTTTGTACAGTGTCCGCGCAGTCGGGCAAAAAGAGTATACGAAAACGAACCTCATGAGGATGACGAAGGCAGTGCCAGGCGGGTGCTGTTTTGTTCCCCTTCATTTTATTTTGCCTGTCTGTCGGTTTGTTGCTGATAATGCCGTTTACACAAGATACCCACCTTCCCCAATCAAATAAAATCTCTCTTTCTGTAATTCACGACATTTTTACAATGGCGCATGCTTGATTGTTCGCTTATTTCTATTCGTGCTTGATATTATCTATTTGCATCCCGCTCTTCTCACACTGTACTAGATTACTCTACCGTGCGCTCAGCCCACCCAACCCACCTCTTCACCACCTCATCCACAGCCTTGACACCCTCCTTGGACGCCTCCACCTCGAACCACTCCCGGTGTTCCTTCCCGCAGGCGTCACACCGTTTCATAACACGCTGTTCGCCCAGCTCAAGATGGATGAGGCGCTCCACGCGGTGCGCATGTGGCACTTTGCGCACGCCTGCAGAGGCGCGACGAGAGGCTTGGTCTTGGTTTTGCTGGTTTTGCTGACGCGACGATCGCGGGGAGGCCTGCGGAGACGGCTGCGGCGTCGACGAGACGTAGGGGTAATAGCGCACGAGCGAAAGACTGTATCCGCACTGGCGAGCCCACTCGTTCATGCGGCGGTGCACGTTGTTCGCGCGGCCGATCTTGAGAAGAATGGTGTTCTTCTCTTGTTCCGACCCTCGATCTCGAGTGCTGGACTCATTGCGAGCGGTAGCGGGCCGCGGGCCTTGGGGCTTGCGCACTGAATATTGGCGCAATACGTCGGTCGTTCGTTGGCCTTGTTCGGGGCGTGATGGCGGCACGAGAAGCGTGGAGGCCGTAGACGAGGGTGCAGGGCCAAGAGATTCGGGCGTCAGCCAGAAGATGTAGATGTAGCCTTCTTCATCAGTGGGGGAGATGGGCTTGCCGAGCTCGGCGAGGAGAGAAGAGGTTAGCTTCGGGGAGAGGTGGGGAGGGATGTAGGAGAGTAGGTTGGTGGTTTCGGAGTTGCGGGGGGTGGTTTTGTTGAGGGGTCGGCGTGGTTGCTCGGACAGAGGCCTTCGCGCTGGGGTATTGCTCGTAGGGCGAGGGGCCGATGTGGGGATTGCAGAGGTGTTGCTCGGACGTCCTTGATAGATGCGTTGTGTGGGTGGATCAGGCTGCACCGGCGCGGGAGGAGCTTGTGGTTGTGTCCTCCTCTTGTGCTTCACCACCTCCGCGTAGTCGTCGTCTGCAGACCCACAACACAACATCGCCCAGAATCCAGGCTTTTTGCGTTGCGGTGGCCTCGCTTGCGGTGTCTGATCTAGCCTTTGCTTCTCTGCCATCAGGTTGCTTGGCACCGACATCAAAGGGCCCTGAACGCGGTCCCACGTTGGTGGCCGGTTGACTGGTCGCGGTGGCCTAGACCCCGAATGTGTGTCGTTTGGCTTGCTCCTCCTCCTCTTCTTGCGCTGAGTCGCTTGCGCTGGTTCTCCAACATCAAGAACACCTAGCCGCGCAACCAGAGTATCGATACTGTTCCTGTCCTGCAAAGGGTACAGGTGAGTATCCTGACCGTTCGGCGCTGTAGCATTCGCGGCTGCCAACTGCTCTGCCTGATCCTTGTGTTGCCAACAAAAGTATGCTGCCGCCCCCGTTTCTTCCTCATCGCTATCGCTCACTACCGATACAACAGCGAGCACGCCGTTGTGGCGTGATGCCTTTGGAGCACCGATATCGCGTCTACAGGGCCGACCTGACCTGGTGATGCCCTTGCACGTCGTCGCGGGGTTGCGCGAATCGCTGCGTGGAATGTCCGCTTCGGGGGTTCGTCCAGTGAATGCCATAATGGCGGACGATGATTCTACAAGGTAGAGTGTTAACAGGCCAGCTCTAAGGCTGAGGACAAGAAAATTAGTGAGATCGAGATCAAGGCCAGTTTTACAGCGCGAAATCTACAGTGACATTGTGGCGGTAGAATAGTCAGCGTGTGTGAACAATGCGATGACTGTGAAGTGCGAGGCTATGTTGGGCGCTTAAGAGGACGTGAACGTGTCGCTGCTGAGTGTGTGGAATCGAGATGGCGGGGAGTTGAGACGGGTGGCAGGCGTGGCGCAGGTTGTGGCGGTGCAGTCAGGGCTAGACCTACAAAAAAATCCTGGCCGCGAACCTGACTGAAAACATAGCTACCTTAGTACTCTTCGGGTGCTTCGAGGCAGAGTAAAAACCACATATAGCATCACTCTCCACTCCGTACTTCAGAAGCACCCCCGACACATGCAAAAAAATGCAAAAAAGTGATTGCATCGGCCGGGAATCGAACCCGGGGCTAGCCGATGTTGCGCTAATGGCAACGGCTAACTAGAATAATTGTTAGTATGTTATTGACCAATTAGAGATAGGGTTTCGGACTTTTACCACTAAACCACCGATGCTGCATATTTATTTGATGGAAATTTTGGCAATTATTAAATATATATCCTACAATAAGTGCTGAGCCCGGGTGAGTGAATCGTGATCTCCTCAGGACTAACGACTGGCGGGCTGCACTAGTCTATTACCTTGCCATGAACTCGATCCCGACTAGCGACTGCACGAAAAAACAGAGACCCACAGGATCTGCTACCCCGCAATACGACAGATTTTTGTATAGGTATGCTACATTACTAACACTTCAAACATTTCTTATCAACATTTCGCTTTTTAACTTCACGCGCTCATTGATAATGTATCCAGTTGCGCTCCTTTTTCCAACCTTTCCTACCAGGATCAATGCTGCTCACATCGGCTGTTACCGCTACTCGGGCCCAAGGTTTCTCCGAAAAATCTCATGAGATTGCCCGTGCTCCGCAGTACTGTAGAGGGCATGGGACTTCACCCCGCGAGCATAATTCGTTTCTGACATGTACTTGGATAAACCTACCCTCTCTGCTATTGCTAATCTTCTATACTGTTAAGAGGATTATCTAGGCAGCTTTATCGCCAATGAATTATGCTAGGGGTGACCTCGGTGAAGAAGTTCAATTTCTGACACTAGCGCAAATAGGGATAGTGTCCCTTGACTCCATCTTCAGGCGGGGTGAACACACCCTCCTACGTCGTTCAACAGCAACTAAATGAGGCTCCGCTCTGAGCTCGCGAAAACTTCCCGTTCGACAGCTCTCGCAAACCAAGTACATCTGCGGCAATCAGTACACTGAACATTTTCTCCTGGTCTGCCTGTGCCGCATTCGAGCTACGCTACGATCGACTCATTATGATCCGATCGGGCTTACTACTGAGTCGTCCTGTTCATTACTACCTTCAACTAGGTATAGAAAGTGGTTACCCAGATACGATATGGTAGGCAGACGGCTGACAGGTTGCTATGTTGATATCACAATTATGTAAGACCATAGTGTGTGTACCAGGCTAACAATATGATGTCGACTTCACAGTAAGACCAGCATTTAATATAGATACTTTTGAGTCTGACTGGAAACATCTACTCATATTGCTAACCCAGGCGCTGACAATAAACTCAAGGAGTCGAGTTGGTTTCAACATCGATTTCAACATGAGAGTTAGTAGACTTTCGCCTTCAGGAACGCATATAATGCACCATGTTAACAATGATCGCAGTAGACCCCTGACTTTCGCTGAAGGTACCAATTGATCCGTCCAACTCCACAACTCGATCATGGAGTTGGAGAGCCCAGGAACAACGACCCCACAATACCGCCCCCCAATTGCAGATCCACCCACTCCAATCAGCCACACGTAAAGCCCCCACAACCAAACCTTCCCAGCATAGAACGAAGCTTTAATCGAAGCATGATCCCCCACCGCAAAGAGCTTCGAGATTGTCGATACCTTCCGGTTATGCTCTACAGGCTAAACTGCCACTGTCCGACCAGGGATGTATGCCGGCATCCACTGCACCCCGCGTACCACTGTACTGGGGGCGAAAAGCACCACAAACCTCTTGATTGCACTCTGGTCATGCAAGGGTTTAGAGTATGACCTAGCCAGTTGCAGCGACTCCTCCCACGCGCCCTCCACGATCAGTGTCACCGCAGGCTCCGCACTGCGCTCCACATTTCCCAGTCTGGCGATAAATATTGTTGACTACCGGATCGAATCGGGACCACGATCTGCGACATCCTAATCTACGAGTAATCCTATTAGACTGTTACGTGGACCGCCAAGTTGGACAGAGAGTATCGCTGGATCTTGGAGTACGGCTCAGAGGAACCTGGATTCTCAGGGCGAATGTGGTCCTTCTTGAATTTGGGAGATTTTCCATGAATGGATGCGGAGGTGATTTGCATGGACTTGGTCGTGGAACACGAGGTTGTCCCATGGTGCGGTCCACTAATGCTCAAATAATCATGTTTTGTCTGGATTTGTATATTCGGTGATTGCTCGGGCTTTGACGGTGACATCAAGATAGCTGTTAAGCTGACCGAGGACGTAGAGCAAAGTGGCATGAAGAATCTCTCACTGTTCTAAAGATGTCGAAGAACAGAACTCGTCAAATCCAACACTCGGTCGATCTCAACGCCACTGATCAAACTGACTGTACACCAGTGTCATTCCAGCGACTTTTCTTGTGGCAAAAAGGTTAGCCATTGAGCTACCGCCAAGCTAGCCTCCCTTAATTACACTATAGTCACGCCGCGAGGCTCACTCCCCCATGTGGTCGCTTCATATAACGTGGGAATTTACCGACGGAGCTCGGGAACACGCAAGAAAAACGTGGAACTGCTTTCTATAAAAGCATCTGTGGCGCCCTTAGAACAGTCCCGTCCAGTTTTCAGTACTCCTGCCATAGCCACCAACCGTCCCACCAACCGCCCACAATGAAGTACTCTATTATCCTCCCGCTTCTTGCTACTAGCGTCATCGCAGCGCCTGTTGTCGAACAGCGTCAGGCGGCCTGCAATGTGCCGACTACATTCCCGACCGTGAACGACGCCAAGTTGCCCGACCCCTTCACGTTTTTCGACGGAAAGAAGGTCACCACAAAAGACGAGTGGGCATGTCGTCAGAAGGAAATTAGCGCTGCCATGCAGGCACAGGAACTCGGTGTTATGCCCCCCAAGCCCAGCACCGTCACGGCCACTTTGTCCGGCAGCTCGCTCTCCATCACTTCTACCGAGGGAGGAAAGTCTGTCTCTTTCTCTGTTTCGATCAAGAAGCCCAGTGGGACTGGTCCGTTCCCAGCCATCATCGCCTACGGCGCCGCCAGCCTCCCGGTTCCCGCTAGCGTTGCTACCATTACCTTCAATAACGACGACGTTGGTGCACAGGCTAATACGGGCAGTCGTGGAAAAGGCAAGTTTTTCGACCTTTACGGCTCCGGCCATAGCGCTGGTGCCACGACTGCGTGGGCCTGGGGTGTCGACCGTATCATCGACGCTCTCGAGACGGTCGATACCGGAATTGATCCTAAGCGTGTTGGTGTTACGGGATGCTCCAGGAACGGAAAGGGTGCCTTCGTTGCGGCTGCTTTGGTACCGCGTCTGGCTCTCGGCCTCCCGCAGGAGTCCGGTTCTGGTGGCGCTGCCTGCTGGCGTGTCTCCGATTCGGAGAAGGGCAAGGGCAAGAACATCCAAACCTCTAGCCAGATCATCACCGAGAACGTGTGGTTCTCCAAGAACTTCAACACTTTCGCTGCCAAGTCAGCTACTCTGGCCACCGACCACCATGAACTTGCCGGCCTCGTCGCTCCCCGCGGCCTGCTCGTCATCGAGAACGAGATCGACTGGCTCGGCCCCGGCTCCACCACGGCCTGCATGAAGGTCGGGCGTCTGATCTACAAGGCTGCTGGCGTGCCCGACAACATGGGCTTCACTGGAGCCGGCAACCACGCCCATTGCCAATTCCCATCCAACCAACAGACCGAACTCACCGCCTTCATCAACAAGTTCCTGCTCAACCAGAGCGCCAATACCGCAGGCATCGAGAAGGGCCCGTCGGTGGACCCCTCGCAGTACTACTCTTTCACCATTCCGACGCTCACGTAGATGTAGAAGGAGGCGCAGTTGGAGAATGCACACGTGGTCGACGCTTCACTTCTCTGTATCTAAATCGCTCACTTGGGTTAGGTAGCATTAGCTGGCGGATGGTGTAAGACAGAATAGCACCACAGTATATTGCATGTCGTGTTCTTGACTCCTGCGTGCGGGTGATGCGTGCCTGCGAGAGTGACACATGCGCAATCCAGATTACTGCGTGCAATGTCGAATGGTCGATGCTTCGTTGCGCCAGGCATGTCCCGAGGTCTGGTGGTTGTGTTGTTGTGATGTGAGGTCAGGCTAGGCAGTTGCCGGCCAGTGCGCTAAGCATCATCACATGACCCGCCAAGCCGCTAGCGCCCGCTACGCCGCGTTGGGCCGCGCCTGATCCCTTCTCCTTCACTGCTCTGCCACTCTCCCTGCGTCGACGCGAATCGAACGCATCCCGCCCATCGCAGAACACCCGCCCGCATCTCCGGTCCGCTCGACAACACCCTCTGCACTGCGCGTGCCGCCGAATCCCCTCTCTTCCGCGCGCTCAAGCGCCGTCGCACCTCGCCACCCCGAAATTGCGCAGCCCCGCCCGCCTGCCAGAGCGCGCGACTTCACCAACCGTCGACGGCCAACGGCGCACCCCCGGCCGACTTCCATCAGCCCCATCCACCGCGGGGGTCTCCACCAGCACCACCGCGCCTGAGAATGCCCTAGAAGCCCTCTGCGCGCGCCCTGCCACCCACTGCCACTGTCTTTCCCTAGCCCAGATTTGCGCGTTTGCCAGCCAGCTCGACCGCGTGTGGCCGCCGCGTCTGCTCCGCGTGTCCCCCCCATCTTCACCATCCACAACACTCCACAACCCTCCATCTTCATAACACCCAGCAATGGCGTCGGTACAGTCTGCGCCGGGCGCCCCCGGGCCCAGCCAGCTGCCTGCCAACCTCACCAAAGAGATGCTCCAACGAGTCTACGCAGTAAGTATACACGCGCTTGCACTTGCACCTCTTCCGCGCGCTCTGCCATGGCCCCACACCGAGTCGTCGCATCTGCTGACCGTCACGTAGCAATACAACCAAATGAAGCAGAACGGCGTCCCCGAGACCGACCCAGAGTTCATCAAGGCCCGCAACCTCTTGACCATGGTGCAGAAGCGGACCACCTTCGAGAAGCACAAACAGATGATGCTCCAGCAACAGATGCAACAGCAAATGCAACATCGCCAGCAAGGCCACCTGGACCAGCAACTCCCACATCAGAATGGCGCAACTGTCGGCGTGTCCAATGGTGCCAAGCCACCGGGCGACGGTCGGTCTGCCTTTGCTGCACAACCACCAGGCGCTTCATCCTCCGGTATACAAGTCGCCACAGCGAGTGGACAGGCGCAAGGCTCTGTTGATGGTCAAACTCCGACTTCTGCTTCCAGTACTGGCCCCATCGCCTTT